ACACTGGGAAAATGCACCTTGTCTCTTTGCTTTTGCATTACCCTGGCATTAATGTGAATGTCCAAAATCCACAGTGTGATGGAGCGACGCCTCTACATTTTGCTATTGTTTATGGTAATATTTTGGACCATTTTGTTTCACTGATTTTACTTGCCACTAGGTATTTATTTACCCTGGGTCATGGACATGTTTCATCCTTACTTCTCCAGAGCTTTGAAAATCACCCCTTGCTTTCAAAAAAGATCTTCCTGTGTTATTGTGCATTTAGTCTCCTTTATTGGAGGTTGGTTGGTTAGGCAGAATGCTGGAATATAAATATTTTAACAGATTACATATTAGGCCAACAGTTTAGGCTTAAAGTAACAAAAGAGTGTATAAATTGCACCATCGCCTTTTTTAAAAGCCAGATTAGACAAGTTGATAGAGCTCTTCAATGGGATACAATCAATGTGTTTTTGAGGGGGCACAATTCTGACTGCAAGGGCAATACTTTGGGAAATCAAGTATTTTTTATTATGATGGATCTTTGTCACTTCAAGGAGAATTTATTTATTTATTCAATATATATTCTGGCTTTTTCCTGATGGGGGGCCTATGCATATCAGTATCAAGGTATTTTATCTGATAAGACCAATGCCCTTTGTGATTGATTTTAGTATGTTATTTTGCACTGTCTATTTTATTTTGTTGCATTATGTATTTTGTTGTGTTTAATTTTCTAATGTTTTGTATGTTATTTCGTTGTATTATTTTTGGGCATTTTGCAGAATTTTCAATAGCACACAGCCACAGATGTAGTGTAACAATTCATCACACTAGAGAAAAAAATCCACTTAAAATCCGGTTTCTGACTCCTGCAGAATTCTAGGGTTTGTAGTTTATTGGGGCTGTTAAAACCTCCTCCCTAAACTACAAACCCCAGAATTCTGCAGGAGGCAGAAACCGGATTTTAAGTGGATTTTTTCTCTAGTGTGATGAAGTAGCTTGAGGCATTTGGGGCTCTTCTGGACTCCCCAACAGTTCTGGTAAATATCTGGCTATTCCATTTCGGAATTTTTACGCACTGTAATGCTTTGTGATGGTTGGTTCCATTCCCACATTCACTCTTGCCCCAAATATACCATTTTTTTGCTCTTGTTTATTGTTGATTATACTGGATTTTACCATTATCCCTGATCAGCATGTTACTTTTTTCTCCCACTTGATGCGGGATTAAACTCAACACCTACTGGCATTTGCTCCTCCCTAATATCTACATTCACAATCTTGCACAGCATTTCTATATTCAGCTTCTAATTTTGAAAAAAGTTTTTTGTATAGTTGTAATGCTCTAGTGATTTGAAGCTGTGCCACTTTTGTGCTATCTATACACTATAATTGTAAAAGGGAAGCAGAGGAATGTCCAGTGATTGAAATATGATGTCAGCAATTAATCTTGGTAGCGAAAGTCAAACCCCCATTTCAAACAATATCAGTAAGACTAGTAAAGGTAAAGGTTTTCCCCTGACATTAAGTCCAGTTGTGTCCGAATCTGGGGTATGGTGCTCATCTCCATTTCTAAGCCGAAGAGCGTTGTCTGTAGACACCTCCAAGGTCACGTGGCCACTGGCATGACTGCATGGAGCGCCTTTACCTTCCTGTTAGGAGCCCCCGGTGGTGCAGTGGGTTAAACCTCTGTTCTGGCAGGACTGAAGACCGACAGGTCGCAAGTTCAAATCCAGGGAGAGGCGGATGAGCTCCCTCTATCAGCTCTAGCTCCTCATACGGGGACATGAGAGAAGCCTCCCACAAGGATGATAAAAACATCAAATCATCCGGGCGTCCCTGGGCAACGTCCTTGCAGACGGCCAATTCTCTCACACCACAAGCGACTTGCAGTTTCTCAAGTCGCTCCTGACACGACAAAAAAAAAACCTTCCTGTTGGAGCAGTACTTTCCTACCCTGTTCTTGCAATCCTGCCTTAGACCTCATAATGGCCTGTAATGACAGTAAAGCCAGAAGAGATCTTTTCACCTTTGTACTGATATCCCTCAAAGGGTGTTAAAAGAAATACCTATAATAATTGAGGTGCTTTCTGTTGTTGTGTTTTAAGTCTCAATGGTATACTTGAATTATGGTACTTTGTAACTTCCAATCTGTGCATCTGTTGCCTAACTAATTAGGAAGTTATTAAGAAAGTTTGCTAGCCAAATAGATAAAATCTACAGTTAGAGAAGAGTTGAATAAAGGGTTGGGGATCTGAGCTGTGCAGCGAATTATGTTGGATGAAGATGTAGCCATTTTTTCTGGATTTTACTTTTCAGAAAACTAGAAAAGTTGACTTTATAGATAAAGAAGGCTGCATTGCAAATAGGCTGGCTATTTTATGTAATGTAAGTACCTTCAAATCACCTGTCGACTTATGGTGACCCTGTGAACTTTATAGAGTTTTCTTGGCCAAGGAATACTCAGATGTGGTTTGCTCTTACCCCTGAAGGATATCTTTGTGTTCCTTGACGTCTCTAGAATCTCTAGGCCCTAGAACTGTACATTGCCCACCTCTATGTTAGATGGATCAAAAGGCATTTGGAAACCCTATTACTTCATAAAATATTTGAAAAGTTAATAAATCTGTCCCTCTCTCACTTTCTTTGTTTCAGGGCACCTGGGAATTTGCTATTTATTGCTGAATGCCACCGCTGATGTACGAAGTCCAATGGGAGGATTAACACCATTGCAACTTGCAGAAATGTTTGGTAATGAAACTATAACGGGCCTTATAAAAATGCATGTGAGGAAATTTAAGCTTGAAAATAAACTGTTTGCCTGATCTGCTTTACTAATGAAAATTCTGTAGAGTTTATTTTAATGTAACCATTCTCATTTTTTATTAAATACGTGTTCCTCAAATCTGGGAAGTTCTAGTGCTTTCGTTATTAAAAGGGTGGTATTTTTTTTACAGCAGTGCTGCTTAAGCTACTTACTCCATTCCCATTTCAAATGCATTGGTTTCTGATTTTCTTGCCCTCCTGCTTTTGCATGCTGAGTTTGAGGGCAGCAACAGACACAGGCTGGAGTGAATGAAGACCAGCAGTGAAGTGGAGTCGAAGGGGCTCTTAGGGTCGAAGTTCTCAAAGCTTCAGATTTGCAGAGATGATTGCATATTCTGTCTACTCTCTTCCATCTAGGTGGAACCTTTTTTTGACTAGGGACCACTTTGACCAGGGACCACTTGGCCAGAGACCACTTTGACCACTGACCACTCTCTAACATTAGTACCAAAAGGGTTGCAATTATCATCATCATCATCATCATCATCATCATCATCATTATTATTCCTTGGCCAGTTGGTCAAACCAACTTTGGACAGAGTCGGACGCTTGACCTGGAGGCCAAAAAACCAAGCAGCCACACCAAAGCAGGTTCAAATAACCTCTATTCTTTATTAGTTACAAAGGTATAAATATAGACAAAAAAGTATCTGCATAAATAAATATCGACTCTCCCTCCCTCCCTTGCCCCCCCCTTAATCACAAACAAACAAACAAGTAAACAAAGATATCCAATCGAAATCCATAACCACCTCCCTCCCTCCCAAGGCTCTCCCCTAACTTTCAAACAAAAGAACAAGTAAAGAAATATATCCAATCGAAATCCAAGATCCATTACCCCTCCCTCCCTCCTTCCCAAGGCTCTCCCCTTGCTCTCAAACAAACAAGTAAACAAATATATCGCTCCCGCTGACCCTGAAACAAACCGCTTGCTCAATTTCTAAAAATTGGTTTTAAATGCTCTTAAATACTATATAAATACTATATATATATTCACAGTGACATTCGCAAATGGCAGATCTAAGGACAAGGCGCCCTAGACAGTTCCAATGAGAACAGGGTGGGGTTTTGTTTGGCAGGCGGGCCAGTTGGCAGTCTCTCAACAGAATCCCGCCCATTGGCGGTCATTTTCTCCTGGGGTGGTGCCTCCGAGCCTGGAGCTGCTGCTGGGCCCCCAACTTGGCCCTGGCTCCGATCAAAAATGTCAACGGTGAGAGACCTATGGAAAGAGATGCTGGTCAGCGGTGGTCTTTGCGAATAGCAGTGGTGTGAATAGCAGTCATCTTAGCCCCCTGCATTAACCTGGCCTAAGTTCAGGTTTCCAGTTACAGACATCCGATTCCTAGTTACAACTGAGGTGAGACTGATGGAAGTGGAAGGAAATCCACTTGAAGAGTTATTATTGGGGGTGGGGGGAGCGTGTATATTGAAAGAGAGAGGGTGGATAGATGAATAAATCAGTAAGTGATGCGTTTATATCAATTATAAGCACAACTATAGTGTGCTGGAAATGTAGAAGTCCCAGTTCCTTTTGTCAGGCTTCTTCAGAGTAGTCACTTTTATGTTAGTTCTATGAGGGTGGAGTTTGGGTCAGCCATTTTGTCTGCCCCTTGGCCTGAGGAAACAGCACCATTTTAGATCAGAGACCGCCAGGGAATACTGGAAGGAAGATGTGCCTGCTGTTGAGATCCATGTTTGGACAAGCCGTTTCAATTCAATTTCTGAACCAATAGTTAGTAGGTAAAGCTAAAAGGTTTTCCCCTGACATTAAGTCCAGTTGTGTCCGATTCTGGGACTCTGGCGCTCATCTCCATTTCTAAGCCGAAGAGCCAGTGTTGTCCATAAACACCTCCAAGGTCACGTGGCCACTGGCATGACAGCATGGAGCGCCATTACCTTCCTGCTGGGGCAGTGCCCATTGATCTACTCACATTTGCATATTTTTGAACTGCTAGGTTGGCAGAAGCTGGGGCTTACAGTGGGAGCTCACCCCGCTCCCCGTATTCTATCCTGCAACCTTTTGGTCAGCAAGTTCAGCAGCTCAGTGGTTTAACCCACAGCGCCACCAGGCGCTCCAAAACCAATAGTTCCTTGCCTTCACCCTTTGAGTCCCTGTTGTTAGTATTGTAGGTGTCCAGTGTCGTGTTGGACGGGCAACAATTACAACCCCCCTCCTTCCAGCCTGAATAGCCAAGGACTCACCACCTTGTAATGCCATCTGGGTCTGGGAGTCCCCCGGAATGCTGAAGATGAAGCTGAAGCTGAAGCCGCTGGAGGAAGAGAAAGAGGAGGCAGCCTGGGCAGCGCTGCCCACCAGGTTCATCAGAGGTAGCAGGAGGGACCCATCGGTGGTTCCAAATCTGCTTAGTTGCCCAAGGCCCTTCCTCCGCTAGCTGTTGGGGTGCCCACCCCGAAGTGAAAGGAGCCCGAGGGCCCGGGGAGGCTGTATGCGGCCTGCAAGGCCCCGCTGGTGCTGGATCCGGAGGCTGGAAAGCCAAAGGGGCTGCCCAACTCCACAGGCCCTTGGGTGGGACCGGCAGATGTCTGGGGGGGCCCACTACTGGGGGTCAGTTGGGCCTGCCTATTACTGGGAGTGGGAGCGGCGAGGGTGGCGGGACGCAGCACTGAGGAGGAATATTTGATGGGGGTCTTAGCTACGAAACCCCCTCCGCCGTTGCTCGGGGCGGCGCTTGGAGAAGGAAGCTGAGGAACAGCAACGGATGAGGAGCTGGGCCCGGCGACCTCCATCTCAGTCACAGGGGGCAGCAATTCTTCATGGCTCAAAGGGACTCCTGAGCCAAATACGACAGGCATCGGATCCGGACCTTGAGGAAGGCCGGATCTGCTGACCTCCATCTCAGTCACAGGGGGCAGCAATTCTTCATGGCTAAAAGGGACTCCTGAGCCAAATACGACAGGCATCGGATCCGGACCTTGAGGAAGGCCGGATCTGGAGACCTCCGTCTCAGTCACATGGGGCAGCAATTCTTCATGGCTAAAAGGGACTCCCGAGCCAAATACGACAGGCATCGGATCCGGACCTTGAGGAAGGCCAGATCTGGCGACCTCCGTCTCAGTCACAGGGGGCAGCAACTCTTCATGGCTCAAAGGGACTCCCGAGCCAAATACGACAGGCATTGGATCCGGACCTTGAGGAAGGCAAAGCAGAGATGTCTCTTTCATCGAACCGTCTGGAATCACCACCCTCGCCTGGACATCTTCTGCCCGTTGTTCCGTCCCCGTCGACTGCTGCTCAATGGCCTGCCTGTTCGCAAACGGGTTGGATTCCATCATTGTGGCAGAGTTGGCAATCAGCGGCAAAGAGGACGAGGAGACAGCACCGGCAAAGCAGAAAGCCGAAGAGGTGGCCACTTCAGATGACAACGACAGCGACGACCCTGTGGTGGAAATCTGCATCAGAAACCAGCCCCCCCCCCCCCCCCCCGTGATAACTGCACTGAATGAAACTCTATGACTGATGTATGATTGGGGCCTATAGAGTCTGAAGACACCACCCTAAGAGTATTGAAGCCTGGAAAACTGCAAATGGCTGAGGAAGGAAAACTACTAAACGGTTGAACAGGTGATATGACCCACAGTCATATCCCACAGTGAGGCCTACTACCACTAAGGCCTTTTCTCCTACATAGAGAGGCGTTACTAAGCAAGAGGCACGCTTGCTAATATTGAACTGCAGCCTTGCTGAGTCATTGTATCCATGTTGAATAAGTGGGCTTATTAACAAAAGACCCTCCTCATAAAACAGCACAGTAACTTATCAACAGCAACGTGACCCAGCTCCAGTAGCCCTAAGTGACAAAAAGAGCAAAAACATACAGACCAGTTATATCTCTTCCATGGGAGGCTTTTCTTTGTAGTAAAATCATATAGTTGCACAAGGTTTCCATAACACAAATGAAGTTCAACCTTCACGCTGGAACCTCACACATGAGGACTTCTCATATCAAGGCCTACCTTACACTCAAGCCTACTCACAGACTAAGGCATACCTCACACTATGAGGCCTAATAACATCAAGGCTTATTCTCCCAGTGAGGCCTGCTACCACTGAGGCCTTTTCTCCCACACAGAGAGGCTGCTCTCACACTGAGAGCTCTCTCAGACTGAGGCGTGACTAAGCAACAAAATACCTCCCCGCTGTATGCGGTTCCTATTCATCTACTGAAATTGCCGGTTTTGATCCGCTAGGTGGGCAGGGAGCTGGGCTGAAGGTCAGGAGCTCACCCTGTCCCGGTTCCAAACTGTCAACCTTTTGGCTGGCAAGATTTAACTGCAGCTGCAGCTGGGGATTAACCTGCTGCGCTAAAGTGCCTAATACTCTGTCTCACTGAAAACAGAATAAAAGTATTAATGACACACCCGCTGGCCAGCTTGGGCCTGGCTGTGGGGAAGAAGGAGGAGCTCCTCCCTGACTTGTCTGCTCCGTGCAGACACTGTGGTCCTCCTGCTGCAGTCTGGCTGCTTTCTCGGCCTCGGCACGCACCTTCATGGCTTCGGAAAGTGCCTGTAGTTTGGGAGTCTGCCGAGAAAGAGGCAGGTGAGGGCCTCCTTCCTCCCACCAAAGAAGGCCATCATGCCAGCCAGGGCACTGGCAGCACCACGGTGGAGGGAGGGCCTTTGAGGACAGGAACGACTCACCAGTTTTGATGGCTCGTTTGGGTTGATCCTGACAAAGGAAACACTCATCCACTTCGGGCTGTCGGGGCACAAGGCTGGGGCCTGGAGGTTGGATGCTTCTTGGCGAGGCGTCTCCACAACATCTTGGGAAAAGATGGCAGGTTTGGCTGGGAAAAGACTCCTATAAGGAAAAACCTGCCTCCTTCCTCCCTACCGTGCCTCCAACTTACCCATTTTCACCTGCATGGTCCTGTGGGGGCCATTCTCCCTGCAGGAAGGCAAAATGAAGCTCTCTGTTGGGTTGGGTTGGTGGCTGCAGGCTCTTCCCCCTCCCCCTCACTATAAACCCCCGTCAACGAGGCGAGAGCAACATAAACTATCATTCTCTGCTTCCAGAGAGCAGCCTCTTCCTCCCAGCCTCCTCAAAGCAATCGGAACAGGAATGGAGAAAGAAAGCTCCCACCTTACATGCAGCACTTACAAGTGGCTGCTCTGCGAACAGCTCGGCTCTTTCCTCAAATTGTCCTGCCCATGTGTGCTCTTCAGAGTCTTCTTCCCCCCCTGGAAGAAAGAAAACAAAAGGAGGCCCTTCGCATTCTCCCAAAGAACCCCTTGATACAATAGGCTCTTTCTGGTAATAAGCCAGCAGGCATTGCATTTGCAATTACAACCAAGACCCCCAAAAGGAGATTTTTAAAAGTACTTGTTGGACAAGTGGGCTTATTAACAAAAGACCCGCCCCATAAATAAATATATTTATTTATTTACTTCATTTGTATACCGCCATTCTCAGCCCTAAGGCGACTCATAAATATATTTATTTATTTACTTCATTTGTATACCGCCATTCTCAGCCCTAAGGCGACTCATAGCGGTTTACAACAATCAAGCAAAAACACGGCGAACAATCAAGGCAAAAATTCAATGCAGCATCAACAAGGTACTTAAAAACAGTTAACACAGAAGCAAATTAAACAATTTAACAGTAATAAACATTCAAGTGGCGTCTCATAACTAGAATCATGATCCAAACTCGTCAGTCGTAGTTCCATTTCCTGAAATTCATTGTAAATTCATTGTAACTGGCCCCTCTTCCTTTTGCCTTCCACTTTCCCCAGCATGATTGTCTTCTCTAGGCTTTCCTGTCTCCTCATGATGTGGCCAAAATACTTCAACTTTGTCTCTAATATCTTTCCCTCCAATGAGCAGTTGGGGTTTATTTCCTGGAGGATGGCTGGTTGGATCTTCTCACAGTCCAAGGCACTCTCAGAACTTTCCTCCAACACCACAGTTCAAAAGCATCTATCTTCTTTCGCTCAGCCTTCCCTAAGGTCCAGCTCTCACATCCGTAGGTGACTACAGGGAATACCATGGCTTTGACTAGGCGGATCTTTGTTGCCAGTCTGATGTCTCTACTCTTTACTATTTTATCGAGACTGGACATTGCTCTCCTCCCAAGAAGTAAACGTCTTCTGATTTCCTGGCCACAGTCTGCATCTGCAGTAATCTTTGCGCCTAGAAATACAAAGTCTGTCACGGCCTCCACATTTTCTCCCTCTATTTTCCAGTTGTCAATCATTCTTGTTGCCATGATCTTGGTTTTTTTTTATGTTTAGCTGCAACCCAGCTTTTGCGCTTTCTTCTTTCACCTTGATTAGAAGGCTCCTCAGCTCCTCCTCGCTTTCGGCCATCAGAGTGGTGTCATCTGCATGGGATTACCATAACCAAAAACCACTGGACAAATTGACAAACCATCAGAGTGGTGTCATCTGCATATCTGAGGTTGTTAATGTTTCTTCCAGCAATTTTCTCTCACAGACTGATGCGTTATTAAGCAACAGGCACATCTGCTTATATTGAACTACAGCTTCTCTGAGTCACTGCATCCATTTAATCCTTTCAGTGCTTGACTCAAGTGTTTGGAAGCAAACACAGCTAGTTAATTTTTAATATTTCTGACAGGACTTATAACACAACGGCCAGATATTTTTTGTCCTAGGTATAAATGAACTCCATTAACGGCCAAACAAACAGTTTTGACACGAAGTACCACCCACCTTGGCCTTGAATATCTGGGGGATCCCATAAGAGATGCTCTCGGTGGAGCTGGTTGACAATGGAGAGGAGCAGTGTTTCCTCTTGAAGGCTCTCTTGTGGCCAGGGAGGGTGTCCAGAGTGCCAGGCCTAGGAAAGAAGGGGGAGGAGGGAGAGCATTGGCCTCGTCTCTCAACAGAGACCCCTCCCCCCACAATTTTGCCACAAAGTCCCCACAATGCTTGGCACTCACTGGGGCACAATGGATGCCGGGGCTCCACCGGACGCCGGGACTTGACTGGACCCACTTTCTGCATTCTCATGGTGACTGTGAGGAATAATAGAATAATAGGATTTGGAAGAGATCACATGGCACTAGAAATAATGTCGTACGACCACATGACACAATTTCATTAATCCATCCATCCATCACATCCCTTCATAACTAATGCCGCGATCTCTTAATGCAGTTCCTCATGTTGTGGTGACCCCCAACCATAAAATGATTTTTGTTGCTACTTCCTAACTCTAATTTTGAAACTGTTATGAACTGTCATGTAAATATCTAACATGCAAATGTATTTTCATTCACTGGACCAAATTTGGCACAAATACTCAAAATGCCCAAATTTGAATACTGGTGGAGTGGGGGGGGGGGGGGGGGGGGGGGGGGGGGGGGGGGGTGGTATTGATTTTGTCATTTGGAAGTTGTAGTTGCTGGGATTTATAGTCAGCCTACAGTCAAAGAGTAATCTGAACTCCACCAATGATGGAATTGAACCAAAGTTGGCACACAGAACTCCCATGACCAACAGAAAATACGGGAAGGGTTATATGGGCATTGACCTTGAGTTTTGGAGTTGTAGTTCACCTACATCCAGAGAGCACTATGGACTCAAACAATGATGGATCTGGACCAAACTTGGCAATATGCCCAAATGCGAAGACTGGTGGAGTTTGGGGGGAAATAAGACCTTGATATTTTGGGGTTGTAATTGTCAGGATTTATAGTTCACCTACAATCCCAGAGCACTCCAAACTCCACCAACGATGGAATTGAACCAAACTTTCCACACAGAAAACCCCCATGCCTTGAAGGGACTCCCTAGCCTAAGCCTCCCTCCAGCCTTGCATGCTCTCCCCTCCCTGCTTGGAGTCTCAGAAACAGCCCTCTCCTCGGCTGAGAGGCCAGCCAATCACAGTGCAGGAGGGCTTTTGGTGGGAGGTTTCGCCATCTGTTTCCAAAAAAGAAGAGAAGGATAGGCAGAGAGATCCTCAGCCTTCTCTGCCAAAGGAGCTCCTAAGATCATCAGAAATATGTTTTCTGATGGTCTTTCACGACCCCTCTGTAACCCCCCTCGTCATCCCGCAAGGGTCCCAACCCCCAGGTTGAGAAACACTGACATAAGCAGTTTGGAAACAGCTGTGAGTAGAGAAATTAGGCAGGGAGATATCTTACAGCGCCATAAAAAAAGAAATAGCAGACTCTTGACACAAATAAAGTTCAGCCTTCACGCTGAAGCTTCCCACACAAGGCCTTCTCATATCTAGGCCTACCTCACACTCTGAGGCCTACTTCACACTTCTCCCACTGAGGTGTTTTCTCACACAGAGAGGCTTCTCTCACACTGAGAGCTCTCACAAGCTGAGGCGTTACTAAGCAACAGGCACACCTGCTTATATTGAACTGCAGCTTCTCTGAGTCACTGCATCCATTTAACCCTTTCAGTGCTTGACTCGAGCATAACCTCCAGGATACCGAATTTGCAAAAAAATACTGACATATACCTCTATCTGTTGTCTGTCCTGTCTGTTTAATGGCATTGAATGTTGACTGTGTATGTGTTCTGTGATCCGCCCTGAGTCCCCTTCGGGGTGAGAAGGGCAGAATTTAAATGCTGTAAATAAATAAACAGATAGAGGTATTATGTTCGCATTTTCCCAACTTCGGCATCCCAGAGGTTGTGCTGAATTCTGGCCACCGGGAGGTGCTCTCACTCCATTCTCTATGTCAAAGAGCCCTTGATCACAGACTTCCCCCTTCCTTTGATCGCTGACATTTTTCTGGAATTCCTTTTATTGTGCCATAAAAAGGAAGACCATCTAAACAATAAGACAGTGGAAAATACCGCTGCCTGGGAGTCTGGTGGAGTCTCCTTCTCTGGAATTTTTCAAGCAGAGGTGGGATGGGCATCTTTCGGGAAGGCTCTAGGATTCTATGCAATCTTTCTTGACACAGATATTGGCTCCTTCTCACCTCCTCTTTTCCCTTCCGTTGTGATTAAGCTCCAGATCCGTTCCCTCTGCTTTCCTCTTCTCTGGCCTCTTCTTTTCCTGGAGAGCCTGGACCACCATCTCCCTCGCGCATGGATCCGGAGTGGGGCTCTCAGCCGGAGTCAGTGTCAGACGAGAAGACCATTGGTCCAAACTGACCAGAAGGAGACAGGAAGTAGAGCTGAAAGGCGGAGCCTGGGTTTCCCTGCTCCTCTTCCCCTTCCCTTCCTTTTCTTCCTTTCCTCCCTTCCTTTCCCTCATATACCTCCTCCCTCTCAGTTCATCCTTTCTTTCCCTCATACACCTTGTCCCTCTTTTCTTCCTCTTCTTTTCCATTTTATCCCTTTTTCTTCCTCTCCTCTCCTCTCTCTTTTCTTTCCTTACCTTGCTTTCTCTCATAATACATTCTCCCTCTTTTCTCTTCCTTCCCTTTATATTATTTATTTATTTCGAGTGCTTCTACCCCGCCCTTCTCAACCCCCTAAGGGGGACTCAGGGCGGCTTACAAAAGGCCTTTCTGTCCCCTATCTTCCTCTCTTTACTCTTCATTCCTTCTCTTCTTTCCTTCCCTCCCTTCGTCCTTTTCTTCTCTTCTTTGCTTCCTTCCTTTTCCTTCCTCTCCTGCTTTTTGTCACACACCTTCCTTTTCCGCTTTCTCTTCCTTTCTTCCCTCCCTTACTTTCTCCCCTTCCCTTTTTCTTTCCTTCCATTTTCTCCTGATTTTTGTCACACTTTCCTTTTATTCCTTCTTTCTCTTCCTGTCTTTCCTTCCCTCCCTTCCCTCCCTTTCTTTCCCTCCCTCCCTTCTTCTTTTCCTTTCTCCTCTTCCTTCTCTTTTTTCTTTCCTTCATTCTTCCCTTCTTCCTTTCTTTTTACTGCTTCCTTTCTTCTTCTACTTCCTTCTTCTCCTGCTTTTTGTCACACATCTTCCTTCCTTCTTTCTCTTCCTTTCATTCCTTACCTTCCCTCCCCTCTCCAATCCCTTCTTCAGGCCCTGGAGAGAGACTCACAGAGAGGAAGAGGAGGAGGAAGAGGAGAAGTAGGGAGAGTCAGCAGCCTTCCAGTGCCTCTGGGCCACGGTGGGAGTGAAGTCCTTCACGACCCAGCTGATCCAGGAGCCCGGGATGTTTGTTTCCACCATGCAGTGTGCTGGCGAAGTGGTTCTTGAACCCCTGCGAAGTGGAATCACAGGGGGAAGGCCACACAGGAAGAACCATAGAGATATATATATAAGTAAAGGTAAAAGTTTCCCCTAACATTAAGCCTAGTCAGGACCTCCATTTCTAAGCCAAAGAGCCGGCGTTTTCCGTAGACACCTCTGAGGCCATGTGGCCACTGGCATGACTGCATGGAGCGCCCTTACCTTCCCACAAAAGCAGTACCTATTCATCTACTCTTTCTTTCTTTCTTTCTTTCTCTTTCTTTCTTTCTTTCTTTCCTTCCCCTTTTCTTTTCCTTCCCTCTCTTAGTGCCTTTTCTTCCTCTCCTTTCTCTTCATTCCACCCATTCTCCCTCTCTTTTCTTTCTTCCCTTCTTTCCTTCCCTCCCTTCGTCCTTTCTTCCTTTCTCTTCACTGCTTCCTTTCCTCTTTTTCTTTCCTTCCTTCTTCTCCTGCTTTTTGCCACACACCTTCCTTTTCTTCCTTTCTTCCCTCCCTCCTTTCATCCCTTCCCTTCCCAATCCCTTCTTCAGGTCCCGGAGGGAGACTCACAGAGAGGAGGTGGAGATGGTGGAGGAGGAGGAGAAGTAGGGAGAGTTGTGGAACTTGGCCTCCCAGTGCCTCTGGGCCATGGTGGGAGTAAAGTCCTTCTGGACCCAGCTGTTCCAGGAGCCCAAGGTGTTTGTTTCCACCGTGCGATTTGCTGGCAAAGTGGTCCTTGAATCCCTGCAAAGTGGAATCAGAGGGGGAAGGCCACAAAGGAAGACACGTATAGATATACATAAGTAAAGGTAAAAGTTTCCCCTGACATTAAACCTAGTCGGTCCAACTCTGGGACCTCCATTTATAAGCCGAAGAGCCGGCATTGTCCGTAGACACCTCCGAGGCCATGTGGCAACTGTCAAGACTGCATGGAGTTCCCTTATCTTCCCACAGAAGCAGTACTACTCATCTAATCATGTTTCCATGTTTTCGAACTGCTAAGTTAGCAGAAGCTGGGTCTAACAGCAGGTGCTCACCCCACTCCTGGATTTTGAACCTCTAACCTTTCAAATACAGGAGGGCTTTGGGGGGAACTGACCTTCATTTTTGGGAGTTGTAGTTCCCTTACAACCAGAGACACTGTGAGCATTACTGAGGATGGATCTAGACCAAACTTGGCACACATAACCCCTATGACCAACTGAACCTACTGGAGGGGTTTGTGGGGATTGATCTACCATGGCTACCAATATGATAGGAGGAGACTTACGAGGAAGAGGAGGGCGGGTGGCCCAAGAGGTGGCTTGTGGCCGAGCTGGTCCAGGGCACACTGCGGCGCTCAGGCATGACAGCATTGAAGTTTTCCAAGAGGCCCCTGCTCCCTCTAAAGCAGTGTTTCTCAACCTGGGGGTCGGGACCCCTGGAGGGGTCGCGAGGGGGTGTCAGAGGGGTCATCAAAGACCACCAGAAAAAAAAAAAAAAAAGTGGAGGGGGGAAGTGGGTGTCAGAAGGGTTGATAAAGACCACCAGAAAGATACAGTATTTTCTGTAGGTCATGAGGTTCTGTGTGGGAAGTTTGGCCCAATTCTATCTGTTGGTGGGTTCAGAATGCTCTTTGATTGTAGGTGAACTATAAATCCCAGCAACTACAACTCCCAAATGTCAAGGTCTATTCCCTCCAAATGCCATCTGTGTTCCATTTGGGCATATTGAGTATTCATGCCAAGTTTGGTCCAGATCTATCATTGTTTGAGTCCACGGTGCTCTCTGGATGTAAGTGAACTACAACTCCAGAACTCAAGATCAGTGCCCACTAAACCTTTCCAGTATTTTGTGTTGGTCATGGGAGTTCTGAGTGCCAAGTTTGGTTCAGTTTCCATTGTTGGAGTTCAGAATGCTCTTTGATTGTAAGTGAACTATAAATCCCAGCAACTACAACTCCCAAATGTCAAGGTCTAT